CGAATTCAGCCGGCGCCGAATCTGGCCGGAACTAAACGCGGCCCAAATCTCACCCCCGCAGGTCGCAGTCCCGTAGCCCCAGTCCAGAACCACGAGCTGATGAATTCCTGCGCCGGCAAGCAGGCAAGCGCAACAGCCTCCGGCGCTCCGCCGTTTGTTTCGGGGCGGCCCGGCGGCAGCGACAGCAACGAATCGACTTTTACCGCTCCTGCGAGTCCAGCGCTAGCGCGACTCTCAGAAGCCTGGTTTAAATGCAAGGTGGAGAGTTTTTGGGTACCAGATGAGGTGTTACATTGATGTCGAATGAGGTGTTCGGATACTAATAAGAGAACAAATTTAGAATCTGTCGGTAATCCGTGAGATGAATTTATTAAGCCTTATTAATTCATCATTAGCACATGTATCACTGTAGCACCATATCGTTAAATCATGGACTAATTTGACTTAAAAGATTCGTCTCGTAAATTAGTCATAAAATATAATTAATTATTTTTTAATCTATATTTAATATTTCATGCACGTTCTAAACAAAGCCCGAATCCAAAGAGGCACTCCCACTGCCGCCCATCCTGCACTTGCCCGGCTTCACTGCCGTTCTCGTTCAGTTCTGGGCGGGGTCGCCGCGCAGATTTCACGGAAGGACAGAACCTGTCGGCGGGGGTCTGGGGTAAAGAAAATTCTCCTGTCCTGCGGTAAACAGCTGTAAAGTGTGTCGCCGTCACGGCATCCGAGTTAGATCCCCTCGACAACAGCAACATCCTAACGCCGGAACAACTGGACGACGACGGGTGGTCGAGCAAGTACACGTACGCCCAGTCAGAGTCTCAGCGGGGCCGGCCATTGCTCCTCTGACAATCGTCCAGGGTTCAGGCACGCAAGGGATTGGTTCGGCACATCCGATCCGCTCATGGAGCAGAGCAGCGAGCCAAGGAGCCGGCCGGTTCTCCGATTCGATCGATCCAGACCTCGCGCCGGCGCTCCCGTGTTCCGTGTTGGCGCCCTCAAACCAGGCGAGGCGACAGCGATTCTGGCGTGCGGGGGAGCCTGTCCCTGTCCGGCTGCGCTATGCGTGGCTTGAGACCGCCGTCGCTTCTGCCCCCCGCCGGTCTGCCGGCGACGGTTGGGCGACGCGCACACGCATTGCACGTACGGCTGCGGTTAGGCTGACTGAAAAAAGAGACTCGTTGCCTAACCCAAACCTAAAATTATCCAATACAATACATATATCCTCCAATAGTATGGAAGATCTATTTTAGGTGTCAGTAGAGGCATAAGCCAAATCAAAGGGTTGTCTTTTGGATTTTGTTGTTGTAGAAAACCAAAAATAAATATTAAACTCTTTTGCCTATAGCGCTACCAAAGGACGAATGTCTCTTGTTTTTTGAGCCGCAGTTGTTGGAGACCGTCCAAAATGCCAAATTCGAATTCGCGGATTCCTTGTCTTCTCGTGTACGTAGTGTACTCCATCTTTTCTTGTCTTCCTGGAAGCTTGGGCCTTGTTTAGCTGCTCTATAAGCCGATTATGTTGATTTGTACGACTGATTTGTTGGGCTTTTACGAGCAGCCAAACACAGCCTCGATTGTTCTCCTTCTGCCGAGAATGGGGGTTCGCAAAATGTGCTAGTGGTGGAGGATATATTCTCACACACATTGAGCATGAACGGAGCAAGTTTAGGGCTCTTTTTTCCTTCTAAAAGATAAAGAAAAGCAGCAGACGATGAAGGCGCGGCGAAACGGGCGATACTTGGCCTTTCGCTTTTTCAAAAAGAAAAAAAAATGGCCTTTCGCAGAAAGCCTGTTTGAAGGTGCAGAAAGCTACTCCAATACTACTCTCCCAAGGCATCTAGTATATGCACGGGGATAGAAAACTCAAATGACATTCGATCTGTAGAGAAAAGAAAACTAGCGCTATTATACGCTGCTCCATAGTAAAATCGAGACGCTGCATCACTGTCGGGCACACAGATGCCTTAATAATCTAGGCCCCGTTAGCTGGTCTGAACTTTGGCTGAAACTGACTGAAAAATATTGTTTTGGCTGAATTGTTGTGAGAGAAAAACACTGTTTTGGCTAAAAAAAACAAGCCGAACAAACCAAATTTAAGACAAACGAACGGAGCCCTAGTGATTCAGTTTACGGCCGGCACACGTGGACCGCCATTTCGTGCCTTTCTGCGCTTCCTTCCTGAAGCCCTCGTCTCTCATCGCGCCCACCAATGGGAGCATATATTCCCCCACTGCATTTCGATTTCAGTTAATAGCACATCTGTTTTGCATGCTCATGTAGACGACCTTTTCTTATCTCAGCGAGAGGATCCAATCCATCCCCTTTCCGTTACCACAACGATATCTTAGTCTAGTTGTTGAAAGGGTTGAAAGTTGAAGCATGAAACAATACCACCCCCCATCTCTCTCTCACACACACACAGTGGCCATTTTTTCACGAATGCACTTAGCGCGTACTCCTTCCGTCCGAGAAAGAATGCAATTGTAGAGAGAACCTGATGTCCGAGAAAGAATGCAACTTTAGGGTGCCAACTAGCTGTTAAGTAGCTGTGTGTAGGAGGCTTGCTGCTTTTACGAAGACATGAGAAGCACTTGTAGGTTTGGTGGCAGGATCGAGGTGCAGGCTTTGGATGCTTGTGCATCGGAGAGAGAATTGAGTAGGGGCACAAGCATAATTTGGCTTGTTCACTAAGTTTTTTCTAGGAACACAGAAATGCGTTCTTCCCCGGATGGATGGAGTATTTCATTAAGAGGACAGAAGGTTACTTAAAGCAGTTTTTCCGAAAAATTACTTTTCTTAAAAAATCTCCATAGATTTTGACGGAAGACAGATAAAAATTACTTGTCCACTTATATTGGTAGTTGCAAGTAAAAAACTTGCTCCTTATTTAACCCCCACCAAAATCACTCTAAAATCAACTCTTCTCGTAGACTCATACTGCTTCCCTATCAGAATAAACTAGAATCACTCTGTCAAAGAATCAAGAAGCTAGAGCTAACATCGAGAGAGTGAAGCTCTCACAAGTATGGCCTAATGAACGTTTGCTCTTTATTCAACCTCTAGTAGGCTTCAGAACGTGTCTTATCTGTCCTGAGTCTTGGTCTTGACTACTGTATACTTCAACGCCAACAAATCCTGAACAAGATGTGGAGTTCCAGCAGGTCAGCAGCGCTGCGTTGTCTCTCTCGCTGCCTGTAAAGCGATCTCCGTCCATCACATTCTCCGTACCAATGCTCTGTCCCTTGAGCCGGAGCGCCGGACCAATGCAATTTGCTCCCTCCGTCCAATGTGATAGCACAGGACACTTCCTTGAATCCTACTGCTCTATTGTTTAGTGTTAAGCTGAGAGCAAACAGGATGGCGACGACATGGCGAGCACATGTGCCCGCCATGCTCGGAGCCCTGTTGTCGCCGGCCAAGGCAGCTCTCAGCGAAACCAGCGCGGGGAATAGCTGTTAGCTGGTCTGAGACCAGAGAGGCGAGGTACCCTGTGAAGAATATTTTTTTTTTTTTTGAGACGGCATGAGTTGTTAGTTTTGGGAAGACCTTGCGATTGGCAAATACTTCTTCCAACTCCTCACATGTTTTACTTCGTCGCTGCATAGGAGTATGTGGTCTTTAGAAGTACGTCATGTTCGCTTGAACTTATTTAGAACTATTTTTTAGCCATAAAACAGTGTTTTACTCTCACAACATTTCAGTATAAGTATCAGTATAAGCTAAATTTCAGCATCAGCGAACTATCTTTTCATGTATGTCGACTCTCGTCTGTGGAAAGGAAAATTTTGTTACAGAAGAGGCTATAAATAACCAGTACCAGTTCTTGCTTGAATACGCCTGGTCTGCCGGCTGCGGCTGCAGCGTCGGTCACAGCCGTCTGGTACATATATTAGTCTCGTCAAAAACTGTGCTGGCCAGGCAGGACTTTGCACGTCTGAACTGAACATTATCGCGGTTAGTGGGAGCAGTTCGCTTCCCGGATCATGACCGATGCAGTGACCACTGACCACATCAGATTGCGTATGGCGGTCCCTACACGGTTGCGGGTCTATACAGAAGCCCACCGTCCGTTCTGTCCAAAAATCTTCTTTTCTTTAAGCTACAAAGGTTTTCTTTTTCTTGCCTTTTCAGTTCTGTAACTGCGACTGGAATCTGTCCTAGCACAAGCTTTTTTTCTTTGTTCCATCTTCGTTATCATCTCATAGTTCAGAAACCAAATCGCCTACCCCACATACATTTTTTTTGTTGTGTACACGATGAGCTTATTTTATACTAGTGTTTCGTTCATAGACTGTTCATATGAACTCACTGAATTGCCACTTACGAACATACAATTAGTTAGTGTGCTAGTAGTATTATTGAACAGAACAGCTATCACAAAAGATGTGTGGGCGAGAGGACAGTTCAGCGGAAACACTCGCAATCACAAGTGGGCCCCAACATGAGCTCCATCCAATCTATCCAGAGCCCCAGCCGGAGAGCCCCCACCCCCAGGGCTTAAAACTTTTGTATGGGTACAGTTCAATCGTACTTATTCTGCTGTTCATCAATATTCGTGGTCTTTCCAACGTACTTTGTCAGCTACTAGTCACGAATGCAGTGCAGTATTCCCGCCTCCCCGGTGGCCTTGGTACCACGGACAGGTACTGACTTATTCAAGCATCCAACAAATGGTTCCTCATTGACGTGGCAGTATTCCCGCCTCCCCGGTGGCCTTGGTACCACGGACAGGTACTGACTTATTCAAGCATCCAACAAATGGTTCCTCATTGACGTGGCAGGACCACCAGGAGAAATCAGACAATTGAGTGTTCTGCTCGGCGAATGCAAATGCAATTGCTGATGAAACGCAACAGCAGCAATGCTCATCAGATGATCAAGCCCGCCCAACACTTTTGTTGATGAATCAATCAACCAAATGAAATCGATCACTTCAAGTACAGCTACTTTTTTCCTTCTCTAATTAGAGTGCGTAGCCATGGAACGGATCACATTCACAGGCCGATCAGGTTCCTGGAGGTGGTGACGCCGCCGTCCACGACGAGGTTGTGGCCGGAGATGTACCTGGACTCGTCGCTGGCCAGGAAGAGCACCGCCTCGGCGATGTCCCTGGGTCTCAGCGTGGGGCCCTTGAGCGTGGCCAGGCCCCTGACCACCTCTTCCATCTTCTCCACCTCCTCGTCGCTGGGCACGGTGATGTCGAGGTCGAGGTCGGCGTCGCCGGCGTCGTCGTGGCCCTGGCACCAGGCGTTGATGAGCATGGGCGTGGCGACGCCGAAGGGCGACACGCAGTTGACGCGGATGCCGTGCGCGCCGAGCTCGCAGGCCGCGTTCTTGGTGAGCCCCACGATGGCGTGCTTGGAGGCGGTGTAGGCGTGTGGCCCCAGGCCGCCGAGCACCCCCGCGACGCTGGCGATGGAGACGATGCTCCCGGCGCGGCGCGGCGCCATGGCGAGCGCCGCGTGCTTCATCCCGAGCGCGGCGCCCAGCGCGTTGACGCGGAGCACGCGGTCGAACTCGCCCGCGTCGAAGGAGAGGATGCTCTTGGCGGCGCGCGTCTGGCGGCCCAGCACCCCGGCGTTGTTGCAGTAGACGTCGAGCCGCCCGCCGTGCCGCGACAGCGCCCAGTCCACGGCGCGCCTGACGTCCTCCTCCACGGACACGTCGCAGCGCACGAAGCTGACCTGCGGGCCCAGCGCCGACGCCAGCGCCTCCCCGGCGGCGTCGTCGATGTCCGCGATCACCACCCGGGCCCCGTGCTTCACGAACAGCCTCACGATGGCCTCACCGATGCCCCGCGCGCCGCCGGTCACAATGGCCACCTTCCCGTCCAGCCTGCACGACAAAACAGGTCGCCACCGGCATTAGCCGCCACGGCAAACTCCAAGAAACCAGGGGGGGCACCAAACGAACGCACGCAGCTACTGTGCCATTGAGATGGAGACAGAGTAGTAAGTACCTCTTGGGCATAGGGGTGGGCACGACTACGGTGCCATTGCCGTCCCAGCCGTGGTGCGACGGCGACATGACGGGCTGGTGCGCGTGCGCCATCTCGGGGCGGAGGTCGAGCGCCGGCATGGCTGCCGCGGCGTAGGAGGCGAGGCTAGCGTGCATGTATCTAGTATGTCTCGAGTCTCGACCACAACTCACGCAGACACAGGAGGCGAGTGAGTGCGAGTGCGTTTGCGTTTGCGTTTGCGTTTGCGTCTGCTCCTCTGCTGTGGTCTGTGCTGCGGAATGCTCGGCTCGGCGGACCGAGCCGTTACTTATAGCGCCGGGAGCGGGCGAGGGCGTGGACGGAGCGGCTCGTGTGGACGGGACTCTGGAGAATTTTTTTTATTTTTACCACTTTTTAAACTAATTTTAAATCTAACACTTTTTCTCTCTCCAAAACTAACACTTTTGCCCGCATCTATTTCCCTTGTACGGCGAAACGCTTGTGCCGCGCCATGCATGGTGGCGCGGCGAGAGGAATGACGTGGCGACGACCGGGACGCTGACCGGTGACGTGGCAGGGTCTGCCGCGCCACCGATCTTGGCGCGACAGTGACGCGCCCTGATCGGTGGCGCGACAGAGCCAGGTAAATATCGCCCGCGAGCCGTCCTCCCTCTGTCTGCCTTAACACGGTGGACGACTTCCGCACCGCGCCCTCCCGCCACTCCCAAGTGTTGTCGGTGCCCGGCCCTCCGTTGCCGCCTCCCTCCCTCCCTTCCCTTCCATTCCCTGACCGCCTACCTTCCTCCTTAGCCTCGTTCAAGGTAATAACGCACTTTTTATTTTCGTTTGAACGGTGGATTGAAATATTATAAATGTGAGTCAAGTTTTGAAGAAAAATTATGTTTGGAAACTATGTGTTATGGTTTGGAGTAAGATATTAGTTTGATTTTGTCAATGTTAAGGTTAATTATTTAGTTAGAAGTATGTTTACCATGTATATTTTTGTTGCTATAAGTGTTGGTTATATTATTTGAGTTGCAATGCAAATGATTATATTTTACATTAATTTACGTTGTTTTGATTGATGTTTAATTTAAACCGTTTTATTAGATGGAAGACATGTTTCGGGATCAGTTGTGGCGAAAACGGGGTCATCCTAGAGAATTGTACCCCGACGAGTCTAGCAAAGATGCCTCCGTCCCTCCTGACCTCCCTGTCCCTAACTGTGCCTGTGGTCATCCGGCCGACGTGTTTCAATCGAGACATCCGGACACAGCGGCTCGTTGCTTCGATACATGCAGTCGTTTTAATGTAAGTAATTGTTTTCGTATGTTGTTTTTCTTCATTTGTATTACTAGTTTAGTAATATTTTGTTGAAATTTTATTGTGTAGGCCCATGAGAGGTGTTTTTTCTTTCAGTGGATCGACGGTGCAGACAAGTTTGACCCTAGGTACCTCCTTTTCGATGATTAGTGGAGAGGGCGACATCTACGAGAGCACTTCGAGCGGTGGGTTCCACCTCCCCCTAACCCTTCTCCAATGACGGCTAAGGTGAAGCACTTAGCCGCAGTTAGACGACTCGAGGAACCTTCTCTGTGTGATTGCGGAGATCGAGCTGTGATAAACCCTGAGAATACGTTGGAGTTTGTGTGTCCAAACAAGTATGAAGTAAGTGCAAAGTGTATGTGTTGAAATATTGAGCTATATGTGTTCATGTACTAATGTCATCTTATTTAGGTGTTTTCAATGGCGAAATGTCGTTTCAAGGAGTGGTTGTATGGTCCTAAGAACCAATGGCCGAAAGAACCGCCAAAGGTTAAGGAAAAGAAGAAAAAATGGTAATTTACAAAGCACCTCCTGTCATATGCGAATATGATGTTAAATCCAACTATGGACTAGTCCCTTCGGAGCTTGGAATAGGCCATTATTGCGGCCATATGGTTGACTATGATAAGGTTGGTTATTGGTGTTGAAAACCTAAAATTGTATTTTCTGGATTTTTTAAAGAATTATGATATAATTTTTCGTTTGAACAGAGCAAGTGAGAATCTTATGATGGTCAAAATAAGTTCTTGATGACTTGAAGGGGATGCGAGTAATTGTACGGAAGAGGGGATATGGACGTGACTATGTCGACCACTTTGTTAAACTGCGAAAGAAGAACATGCGTGAGTTTGCTAGAAAGAGTGGTATTCGTAACCCGATCGATGTCAGGCTTGACAAATAGGGGTCAGAGACACGGTGGTCATTAGAGGAGGATAGGGCAAGGAAGGCTACAATGGAGAAGAAAACAGTACATATGCGGGTCTTGAACGACCATGTTGCTGCATTGTGTGCAAGTAAGTCATTGGAAGCCTTCTTACTTTCATTGCCTCCTTTTAAATGTACTATAATCGCGTTGACAACTTGTTGCATTTTATACATGAAGGAATTGGATGCAGCGGAGACCATGCCGTAGAGGTGCCCCGTGCAAGTTATGTGGAAAACAAGTTACATGAGCACAGAACCCGAGCCGGTCGTAGCGTTCTATGTCCGATTGTGTTGGACAATGAGGGGGACGAGGATGAGGACGACATTGCCAGGTTGAGCGATCTCATCGCTCTAGCGGAGGCGGGCTTACAGGTGGAGAAGGATGAGGACAACACTGGCAGACTGAACGAGCTCATCGCTCTAACAGAGACGGGTTTGAAGGCGGAAGAGGATGAGGAAGCCTTCTTCTCTCAAGCCGTAGAGGCCGCAGATGAAGCGGAGGCCGCTTACTACAGACGATAGGTAGATCAGGGCAATGCTGGTGAGCCTAGTCACATGAACGGGGAGGAAGAGAATGCGTTCTTGTCTCAGACCACAGATGAAGCGGAGACTGCTTACTACAGGTGAAAGGGAGATTAGTGCAATGCAGGTGACCCTAGCCACAGAAACAGTGTTGTGGTAGATGATTGGTATTCGGACGACGAGTTGTTTACTCAGTATGTTTCTAACTGATGGTTTTTGATTGCGCCGTCTGTTATTTCCATGCTTTATTAATGATCAATGTAGCTATGTACTAGAATTTTCATTGTGTTGTCTTGTTTTTCATTTGAACTATTGATGTATTGTACCCATGTATCATGTACTCGGATTACCCATGGTTGATCTTAAGTGATCCCATCCGTTTGTCACCCTCTGACCCATCCGTTTGTCGCTCTCCGATGCATCCAAGTTTTTTTAATAATAGCGAATGCGTTGAGAATTTTCAAAACGAACAAAATCAAGGGAAATTATTTCGAATACGGTTGGCTGGCATATATATCTTGCATGTTTCCCATGTATTTTAAAATAGTAGCGTGTAATTTATGTTATTAGCATTAGATCAATGTAAAATAATAATAATGTTATCACTTTACTCCAGCGTTCTTTTAAAATAAGTAGTGCTGGGTTAAGGGGCGGAAGACCGTAGTTGACAACACGGACAAGCTCGAGGAAGCCGGCATGCCGTATGTACGGCGCGTAACGCTCGTCCCACTGATGCGCCCTGGTGTGCGTGTGGGGCCACAAAGGAGGCAAGGGCACCTCTGTGTCGGTGTCAGTCAAGAAGTGTGCTCGGTGCGGATCGTCGTACTCCATCTCAAGAAGGGGGTACAACTGGTGCTGCATGGGAGGGGTCATCCTGTTACAAATTGATAAACAAAGGGTTAGAGTATTCAAATTAACAATATTCAAATTAACATTATGCAGCATTGCAAAATTTGAACTACTTGTTATGCAATACGAACACAATATGAAAGCACTTGTATATATTCAAAGTAACATTAACAGACATATTAAATAACTTCACTAGGAAAATAAGCAATTTCTATGTATGGACCTGTTGCCCTCGTCTTCTATGCCTGCTAGCCTTGTGACTAGGGTCTTTGCAAACGGAGCAAAGATTCCTACCACGGGTCTTGTTGAAGTCTCCCCCTCTGTACATGTCTTCGTCGTACCCTCTCATAGCATCCATGTCCCCCTTGAGTCGCTTATTCTTTCTTCTACCCTTCCCTACCTTCATTAAATCCGGATGCGGCACATAGTCATAACCATTATAAGGTAGCCACTGTGTCGGATCAAGGTATGGCTCGAAGCTCATCTCCCAAATACTAACGGTGTTCGAACGGAGATACAAGGGTGACATATATGGCAGATCCTCGTAGTTGTACCCGCGAACCCTGCAGGCCGTGATCATATGAGAGCAAGGGGCATGCATGATCTGAGGGACGTTGTAACTGCACTCTACCTTTTCAAGATCAACTCGGTAGTTTCGTCCACCATAACGTTCGCCACCCAAGCTTGTGCCACCCTTGCCTCATACACTAAAGATATGACGGCGGGGTCCATACGGCTCGGCAGTGTGCTACTTGGCCAATTCCTCGACCTCCTTCAAATGTTCTGCTCTGGCCTTTCCAAAACGCCCATGCTCAGCTATATTCCTCTGCGCAAGTTCCCACCTCTTGACAAAATATTTGTTGCACTTATAAAAGAAGAAATCAATAATTCTAGACACAGGCAACGATCGAACTCCGGTGAATACACGGTTGAAGAACTCTGATGAGTTTGTGGTCATGATGCCATACCTGAACCCCCTCGTCATATGCTAACGCCCACCGAACCTTCTGTTCCATCTGCGCCTCCAACCAGGCCTTTCCCGCCTCATTTAACATCAAGAAAGTGCCATCAACAAGTACGACTGCCCGATAAAACTGTAATGCATGTTCCATTTTTGCGAACGACCAGAACACACGATAGAGGACATGCCTCAATAGGTCCCGAAAATACATCCCTCTGATGTCCACAAACCATTTCAAGCCAGGGTTGTTGTAATACATTGCACATAAGATGCGCGGCACCCTATTGTACGCTTCCTCCCAACTACCCCATCGAATCGCCAGGACAATTTGCCTAGCACGTCAAGTCTTTCCATACTTCACATCGTACATAACGAATCCAGATATGAACTGTTGTAAAAAAGACACCGAAATACCGTTATTGTCATCAATGAGCTCCAATATACGACGGGCAAGGTAACGTGCAGTGAGCTGCTGATGATTTTCCTTTCCCATATTTGTTAGGCAAGTGTGGGGTTCGACAACTTTACTTATCCTCCACTTGCCATTACTCTATCTCT